TCAGAAGTCCTCACGGTCTGTGAAGTGTGCTCAACACCTACCATCTGACAAGCTCTTGGATGGCAAAGCAATCACGGGATCTGAACTGGCAGAAGGTAACTTCCCGTCAGCTGGCAGAGGGACATTTTGCTGCTTAATCCCTTAGCTCCTCTTTGGGCATGCACAAAATGCTGACTTTGTCTTCTGAATTTGGAAGAATATAGAGGTAAAACTCAACTCCAGCATTTTGCAGCCAGCACAACTAGTACAAGCCTTGCTCAGACCTACAGTCCTCCTCTCTTGAGATCACTGGACTCCAATTAATCTTGGGTGCAGTAACTTTCCAGCAAAGCCTTACAGTCCATGCCTATCTCCTCTCAAGGACCCTGCCTTTTGACTAATGCATAGAGCTAAATTTATTTGATCACAGACGGCTCCCCCCTTTACTCAGGCTGTACAGACTGCACTGATGAATGCTAACTTCTAACAGGCTGTAAATCAGTGTTTTCCTTCCACAATTCCTCAAACAGACAATCCTAGATCAAATGATGGCAAAGACTCTTTCTGGCGTACTCTGAGCTGTAAGCACTCTCTACCTGTTCTGCCCCAGTTTAAGAAGCCATTTGCAGGCTTCCGCAGACCCTCAAAGGCTGACTCTTTGTGGCTACTCCATTCCGATATCCAGGAATGGCATTTTTCCATCTGAGTTGCCCTTGACAGAAACACATCTGGTTAAAGCAGAGGGGCACAAGCTGTGCAAAGTGACGACCAGATCTAGTAGATTTCCCAGCAATCTTCTGGGTCATCATAAGGATGGAAGGGTTGCTGGTGGACTGGACAGCTATTTTCCTCACTGAAGAACCACTGGCTGGCAGAATCCACATATTGGGTTACCACAGGCATCAAGAACCTGCTGAGGAGGGGAAGACAGACAGTACTATGCATCTCAGACAGATTTGATCCTAAGCTGGACAGAGCTCAGAGTTGGGTTTGTCCTTATGAATATCCCAGCTGAATCCTTGCACATAAATCTTATTTCTTTAGACTATTTAGTGTCCAAGAGGCATTTAACAGTGCTGATTTATCTATGTCCTGTGCTTCCTTCAAGCAACACATTTTCATGTCTGGATGGAACTGGCCACAAAAAAAACCCAAAAGCAAAACACTGACAGCTGCAGAAGCTTTAACATTTGTTTTCCTTAGCATACCAAACCCTAAAAATTTGATTAAGTTTTTATTTTCAAAATCATTACAAGTGTTCAGTTTGCCTAGCAGGAGGCACACTCACCTGGAATGATGACCCACTTCATTTTAGTCCTTATGATGCTGAATACCCAACCAGGATTTGCAACAGCTGAGGCAAGTTCATTTGCAATGAAGTATATCAAGGGGAAATGATGACTTTCCTTGCCTCCCTCCAACCCTTCCTCATCCAATCCAGACCAGAAAAACCTTTCCAGCAAGTTCTTGTGAATAGAAAGCAGAGAAAACACATCATCTACCACCTCACTAATTCATGACTTCTTAAAAAAGATCCATCACAAACTTGCTTACTGCACCTCTAGAGTACTCTCCCTCAGTTCTTTCCTACATGTTAGTTCCTGCTCCCTGCACTGCCCCCTCTACTGCTTTTTAGCCCTCACCATCCTTTAGCCCAATTTCGTCCTCCTTCTATATAACTTAACCATTTATCTTTGATCATCAAGGCCTATCAGGCCTTTAGTAGGTATGTGGAGCTGTATGATAAAACAAGGTCAGAGCCCCTTTTTGCATACAATCCTGTCCTCATACAACAGAAGAAACCATGAAAGGTTGAGGCTGTGTTCACAGCAAATAGGGCAATCAGGCACTCACAACAATGTCTCACTGCTTGCTTTCCCCTTCACATAGGCTCAAAGATTCACATTTTCTTCCTTCTCTCCTGTTCTTTCTCCCTCCTCCTCCCATAAACTAAATTTTGAACAGTCAGTTGGCCAAAGCAGCAGATTCCAGAGAGTCTTGTTCCAGGCCAAATAGCAATAAAACTCATTTGGCACACTCATCTTATTGGGCAGGTAATAAAATTAAGGAACAGGGTTGCTATTTTGGTATGTCATTCGTCAGTAAGGTACTGATGACTAAGAAAAAAACTTCCACTGAGCTAGGGAAGCTGAATCGTTCTCACAGCTGATGAGAAATGCAATAAGCTTATTATGATAACTACAATGTTTGCAAAGCACCTAGAAAAGGCAACTTCCCAACACCCAAATGCATCAATTCCCTTCCCACTTGTGCTAAACCTGAGGAAAGAAACTAGGAAAAGGTTAAGCCCAGAGAAAGCAAGCTACCCACCCTTCCCAGCTGGCATCATGGTTATAACAAGAGCTGTCCACACAGCCAGAACACCTGCACAGGAAATCAGTCCCCTGGAATCTCCCTGTTTGCCTTCTCCTTCCAAGCAAGTCTGCCCACAATCAAGAGTGACTGATAATTACTGAATTTGGGTTGAACAGTTTCAATTCATAAAATTTCCAAAAATACCAATTTGGTCCAGATCCCAACAGAAGATGAGGTGAAGATGAAAGAGGACGAAAAGGAAGGAGGGTGAATTGGTTGCTCAGACACCAAACAAAAAGGAAAATACGTTATTCATATGGCCTATTTCTCCCCCAGTCTTAAAGTGCATTATAACTCTGAAAAAGGGCAACGGTACAGCCCTGGGCTTGCTTTCTGCATCATCCACTTCCCTGCATGCTGGATTTAGCAATGAAAATAAATATTATTTCTGTTAGTCAACAGGGACTTTGGAGAAGGACTGGGTCTTTGCTGGCTCATACATCATCCAACCTACATGGTTGAGACAACAGAATATTGTTAGCAGTGTATTACCCAGAAGGGAGCCAGATCTGAACAACAGTTTCCAAGGACTTCTACAGTATAAGCAGGGTTCTGGGCAAGGCTCATCTTTTTGCCTTGTTTCTGCATAGTGCTTAGCACAAAGGTCCATAATAAGGGATGTAAGACAGAGGCATAACACAAATAACGAACTACATTTGCATGGCAAGGTATTAATCCCAGTCATTTTCTCACACAAACTGTAGCACTTTTGAATCACCTGGGAGAAAACTGATTCCTGAGTTTGCTATAACTCCATGGATTCCTGAGTCTGCTGTAACTGCATGTCAGTCTTTTATTCTTATGCAGTGGGGAAGGAAAGGCACTCACCTCCTTCCTTGCTGACTCCCAAGCACCCTTTCAGCTCCTGAAGCGATATTGACTTATCCTTGTTGAGGTCACAGTAGTCAGTGAAACGTCGGGCACATTTCTTGGGCTTGGCTTTCTTCTTTACATAACGCTTGAAAGGCTTCAGCTCCCGCTTGTTGATGTCATTGCTGCTGTTGTTGTCCAGCTGGCTGAAGTACCAGTGTACCACTCGCTCCTCAAGTGTGTGGCTGGGGTCTGGCTCAGAGAATCTGGAACAGAGGAAGCACAGGCCCCTGATAAGTGGGTGCTCTCACCAACACTGTCAAGCACATGCTGAGAAGCCAGAGCTGCTCAACGAGTCAGACAAGCACTACATCATATTTAAAGCAGGCAAAATATGCAGGTCTTACAATCTTCTCCTTTTAGCTGGGCCCTCTCAAAAGAGATGAACTTTTTCTGAAAATGTCCTTTAGCATTAACAAGTGGTGCCAAGAGATTCTTGGAGAATGATACCCTCAGTAGCTCTGGTTCTCCTCACACCAGTTGCTGAAACTCTGCCTATTCCCAGAAGGATCCCCTTTAGAGGGCAAGAGGCAATCTCCATGATCATTTTGACCCTTGGGCTCCCATACAAGTTACCAGCAGGAGAGCTGTGTCAGCTGTAATGGTAGTTTCTGTGATAGCAACATCCAGATTTCAGAAAGGAACAAATTCATTCAATGCAAGACACATTCGTCATTTGAAAACGTCCTTGGCAAGATACAACGTTCTTGCTGTATCTATTTATATGATCTGAACTCCTATGCTGTATTTTCAGCATATTTAATGTTTTTCACAGGGTTGATTTATACACAAGAATTCCACAGCAGACAAGCACCACAAACCTGTTAAAAGCAATACTACGGAACTGGCAAATTCAGTTTGCTTCATTTCTTACTCATTGTGGTACTACAAGTTTGATGTTATTTGGCTCACATTTTCTTTGTGTGGACAACAACAAACAGTATCAGGGAGGAGAAGAGGAGGAGGAAAAGCAACAGCTGAAGATGCAGGAATGGAGAACGCTGCTGTTCAATGTCAAGCCATCGCTGAACAGGCACTGTTATGTCATACCATTTAAGTGGTGTCTGGTGCTCTGCAGCAGCAGTGGGAAAGGGGTTATTCCTCAGTGATACTGAAACTTGGGAAGAAACACTTTCTAAAGAAGAATTCTTTAAAAATTGCATTAAGCTAGTCCATCTTTTCTCCATGTGATAAGCATGCCAAAAGACAAAGCCGACATGAGGCTGAAATGATGCTGAGGCTTGAGCCTTTTTCCTCCCAAGAATAAAGCATTTTAGTGCATAGAAATTAGCGGATAGGTAGTCAGACATGCTACACTGGCACTGATTGCTTTGACTTATTCCAGGAGACATCTCCAGCTGCTGCCTAAATACCTTCTCCAGCAAGATGAGAGGGACAGTTGCATGCTGCAGGTAGCCGGCTTCTTCTGTGAGCATGGGGTCTTCTAGCTGATGGAGAACTATGAACCCAGATACCTTATAAAATGCGCTTTAAGACTATCACCGACCTTGTTTCAGAAACTGGTAGGATATCTATTTAAACAGTCACTGAAAATCTATTTGTTGTGAACTGGAAGGGAGAAAATTCTTTTGACCTTCTAGTGTGACCTGTTTTGCCTCAAACACAGCTACAGAGCCTGAAAAATAAAAACCCAAGCCTACCGCCATGGTAATTTAAATCACTAGTAAAGGTGAGTCTGCAACACATGGAAAATAAGCATTGGACCTTAGGTAGAAAACAGAGATCCTCGTTAACCTTCTCTGATAGCTTTTACAAATGAGGATACAATTTAGAAAGGTAGCCCCTATCCAGAGACATCAGGATCCTTGCAATAAGTAAACACACACAGTAGGAAGACGCAAATAAACTGCACAACATTTTTCCCAAGGTTTTACTTGAAACTATCCCCTTCATCATTTAATTCTTAGCTGAGAAGCAGCCTGGCATTCAGTCATAGCATCTGGTCAAGTTACAGTGGGATAAACACTATGGGGGAGGAAGAGGAGGTTGGGAATAAGTCTGGCTTAGTTTTGGGAGCTAAAATACAAGGCAAGGCCCTGGAGCCACTTATGGGCAAGCAGAAATTGCAAAAATCTCCCCAGGAAGCTAAGGGAGTGCCCAGATTTTTCAGAGCCTTGAAACTGTATGCGAAGACCATGATGACAGGAGAGAATAAAAACACATCCTGTGGCTTGTTTTTATGACATTTATGAACACAGTCATTGGCCTCTCTCCCTTTTGGAATTGAGCTGGCTATCATTTGAAGACTAGCATGTTTCCAACAGCCACAGGGAAGTTCTGTATTGCAAGGGACAATATTTTGCTTTTGATGAGACAGAGGAATAAAACCTCAGCTTTCGCATGCGAGATTCCCCTCATCCACACCTTGGCCTACCCTTTGTTTCCCGAAGGCCCACAACTGGAGAGACAGAAACGGAGAAAATAGCAGAGAATCTTGGAACCAACAGCAGAAAGACAACAGACGGGAACGTGAGCTTTTCTCTATCTGCCAAAGAGACGCTCAGAAGCAGGACTTAAAAGTGCCTCTTTTTCAGAGGCACACCAAGAAGGAGCTCTCATGAGTTACCAAGAGAGGCAATAACTCTCTTCAGCAGTTCCATGAAGAAAATCAGGGAAATTCACAGGCTAATACAAATACATTGACTCATGAGGTGATGATACACCAATCTCTGCCATTACAAAAACGCTGAGAGCTCATGCTGAAAACTGCAGCATGCTAATGGAGTTAAAGGGAATTAGTTTAACTGCCATGATTGCAGGAAGAAGGAAGACACAGCCATTTCTGTTTTTTTTCCACTTCTTGTTGGCTGGCTTAGCAGGACTGCAGTTCCTGAGCTGGTTGCCTGCCCGTTCTGATGATCATCCAGAATCCCAGCACAGGCAGGATCCACATCTTCTCAGTGCAGCTGTATCTCCCTGGCTCAGGAAATTACATGATACACTAAAGGAGGCTGAGGTTACAACACTGTATCTAACTACCTTGACTTTGACGGCTACCCATGCAAGACACTTATGCACCATCCATGAAATATGAATCGATGCAACTTCACAGCACTGCTAAGCCATCTAGCTTTGATGGTGTGCTATAACAACCACCATACCTACCGGGTCAGCTGGAATAAATCTTGGGGCTCTTATTGTCCTGCAAGCACAGACTTTGCAGGAGTATTTCAGGGGAATTTCCCTCTATTATCTCTCCGTTGCTGTTTCAAGAGAAATAAGTCAGCCCTCAGATGCAAACTTCATTTGTTTGCTGCCTCTCTACTCATTCAGACCATAAAGCAATCAGAAAAAAACAAGAGAACAAAGCTGCCCCGTACATTCTCAACTCCCAGCAAAACATCTCTTGCTCTAATACCAGTCACACAAACGTCCACTGAATTCCAGCGTCTTGCTCCAGTGCTGCAGCAGCTTTGAAGACCTAGTAAAGACAGACATTATCAAACTGCAGACAGCCTTCTCAGTCTTCTCATATTGAATACATTACAGCTGTACTTACTCTTCTTCCTAATTGTTCCTCTTTAGCACTCTATGGGAAAACAATCAATCCTAAAGAATGAGAGCTGGGGAAGCAAAGAACTCTATGCAAGCTGATTTTCCAAATCTAACCTGCTATCGCTGGTTCGCTTTCGTACATAAGCCAGCAAGTTTAGCTCCATTATGCAGCATAAGCCCACCCACAGTGCAACACTGACGAGAAGCATGGTCTGCCATTAACAGCCTAGGACAGGGAACTTGCTTTCTCAGCTTTCCTACTAATTTGTTGGCATCAAGTATATAGTCTTCTTTAAGTAGGCTTTTGCTCCCCATCCTGTGTAATGTGCTATCGGCTCCCTCATAGGGGGAGAATACTTATTTCTTAGGTGACTTATGCTTGGAGATATGTGGGTTAAGGTACTGTTATACTTTTAACAATACTATTTTCCATTTGGGACACATTCCCACAGAACACCTTCATATCACCTGGTGTAACTGGGGTACAGGCAGAAAGCAAAGAGGCCATGAAAAAACATGGACATATACTTTTGCAGCTGCACTGAATTCTGGAGCAGAGAGAGAAGAATATGCCAAAATACCAAACAGACAGCTTGAATATGCACTTTGCATGCAGTTTGTAATGCTTTCCAGCCCTTGAGGCCCCTTGCATGGAAGGAGAAGTTAACTCAGTGGGAAGGAGCAGGGAAGAATGGCAGGTATACAGGGTAAAGTATATAACAGCAGCAAACGTCAGACATTACTCACATACAGAACCATGTACGTTGTGCAATCACATTATCCTCCATAGAAGCGTGCTGTCAAAGAGTAATATATCCCACTAAATTTTACTGAGTAAACCAAAGTTGATTCCTACCAAAGCTGATCCTTTTCTCCCTGCGCGCTTGCAGCCCCTCTGGACAGGCTGCATGGACCCGCAGTACTGTTGCAGTGACAGAAAATCCTAATACAAAATACTGCTTTGACAGAAAGCAAGGTTGGAATCTCTGAAGTACCCAGCAGATGACCATTTGTTTGAACACCTTCAGAAAACCTATTATTTTGTAATACAAACTTCATATAGCAACAATAGCATCTGAGGCAGAAAGAGGGAAGGAGAGTAAGATCAGCCTAACATCACCTGACTGGACTGCAAACAGAGCCTATAAACCAGAGAGAGCTATTCCAGGATTAAAAAACACTGATGCACAAGAAGCTGCTAGCAGAAGCAACAGAGAAGGAAAAAAGTTAGCCCAGCTTCCACTCCTAACACACAAGGTATGTTAGTAGTCGGGATGTCTACTGGAGTTGAAGTTGTAGGTTTCTGGCCTGAAAATATTTTACAAGGATGTATACCTTGTTTGGTGCTGTCACTGAATAAAGGATGGACGAGAACAAAGCTAAAGAAATGACAGGACTAACCCTGCCAGTCAATGTCCATGACAGCAGTCATGATGTCCACCAAGGTGCCTGGGGGAGTGGTAGAAAGTGATAAGAGTTTAACACACTGAGGTAAAATTCAGAATTGTTCTTGCTCTGCTTCCACTTCTTACTGTCCTTTTGTTATTCTTTGCGGTTGTCTATTCTAAAGTTAAAAGCTGTAACGGTGGAACATGGCTTGAATCAAAGAGGATTACTCTAATGGAATTGCAAAAGGATCGTGTATTTCTTTTATTATTCTCCCTTTCCTGTAGCCAAAGAATCCAGAAGCCAACAAAAAACTCAGCTGTGTTCAGACTAAACAAAGGGGTACTACACAGTCCAAATTCATTATGAGGAATGCATAATTCCTCTACAGTTAAAACTTAAGTTATCTTCCTATTACAGGCCCAGTTTCTTCCTCTCCTCTGGCTAAGTTGTGTATGAAACACTATTCTGAACACAACTTTTCTGAAGATCGTGGGACAAATCATTTAGGTTTAAAAATCACCTCCCTTCATCCTCATTGACTGTTCAAAGATCCTCCTCTTACATGAACTCTGCTGTATCTTTAATTAGGCTAGAATTTCCATAGGAGCACAAAGAGAAGTTGGTATCCAACTTCAATTGAAATGCAATAGGAGTTGGGCATTAACTTCCCTGTGCTGTTTGAAAGTGTCAATCTTTATTTAAACATGGCTCGGCTTCAGAACACCCTGGAGATGTGCTGAACTGTGCTTGCCTGCTTCAGACTGTTCAGCTAGAGCATGAAAGGGAACCTCAGAAGCAATTTTCTAGAGTACTTTTTAGGGCTATTACTTGGGGAATAATTGGCAACTTAAAATGAAGGGACACAGCTGCTGCATTACATGATAAAGGTGGCTGTTGCAAGCTGCCCTTTTAACCCAAAATTCCACAGGGCATTAATATTTTTGCTGATCATGTGGCAAGCCATAGTGCATGCATTTCAGCAACTAAAATTCATCTCTGAATTGGAAGGGACCAAAGAGGGTTTCTCAGATCAGGGAAACGCAGGCCGGGATCCCCTTTGGTCTTTTTCGTTTAGGCCCTGTGTAATACAAGCATGTCCAAACAAGAAAATAGACTAAAATGTACTAAAGCAAAGTCTAAGTTTTAAAAAGTGCTGCTCCTATTACATAGGATTTATATGTGAACAATTTCAACTATGCATCTTTTCAAAAAGGATACCAAACACTGGTTAATACACCAATTTCCTACAAGCGCTCCCTTAATTACTTTGAAAACGTACGGTAACAAGATGTGCCTTGGAGTTATTACATAAACTTAAAATCAAGAATGAATTTTACCAGAGATTTTCTGTTTCAAAAGTCTAAATAAATTCTGCTTGGCTATTTTGCTGTAATATAAACCAGGGCCATGAGGAAGGGAAGTTCTCATCTCATTTACATTATTGTAAAGCAAGAGTAACTCAATTAAAGTCAATAGCTTTGAACTTGCTTAAACAAGACAAGACCTATAAGGGATTACAAGGTTGTTTTAAGCATGCCCAATTAAAAAAAAAAAGTCTTATCAGGTTTTACTTACATGGCCCACAGCAATTTGAGTTGTACAGCCTCACTTTGCTGCTACTAGATGTTTTTTGTGTGTGCCAAGCATAAAGTGTGCAGTTTAGCACAGCTCAATGTAGTATTTTAAATGCAGAAAAGGCAGATCTCTAATTTCTCCCCATGCTTCTCCCTTCCCACCCCCTCCCCCCAAAAAAAAAGCTATTACAGACATTAATTGCAAAGCCACAGATAGCTTTGCAGCATAAATAAGTGAAGTCCTGAAGATGAAGACGCGTGGCAAAAGCAAGAAGTTTTCACTCCACATATCCAGATTCAGACTAAAGGCCTCAGGGTCATCTGATTTCCTGTATACCATACTCACAGAGTGCAAATCAAATTACTCTTCAGACCATAACTCAAGTTTGACTAAAGCAAGTCTTTCTGAAAGGCATCAGGCCTAAGATGAAAGTCTTAGAGAGAGGGAACCTGTCACCTCCCTCATGACTTCATTCTGCCTCAGAATTGCCCTTGCTTTAAAGAAATTTTGATCATAAGTTTGTTTATATGCAGCTAATCATGTTCTTCCCTGCTAGACTAATGAGCCTGCAGAGCTTTTGTCCCTATGGAGATACTCAGATTATACAAAATCATCTTTGAACTTTTTTTTTCTTTTTATACCCTAAGGAAGGCTGAGTTCCTTAAGACTCTCACTGTTAGACTTTTTCAGCCCTTGACACTTTGGAAAGGCTCTTCTGTGTTTGGTCCCATATTTTAATGTTGATACTAAAGATGTGTATTGTATGCCAGTATCATCTCTCTGCTGCCATGGAGAAACGGGAATACTCCCTCCCTTCTCTAAAATCATACTTGCTGCTTTTTTGATTAAAATACATAGTACAATATATGGGGCCAACTGACATGTGGGTACAGCTTGCTGTTTGCCTGGCCTGCCCTCTGCAACAGGCATAAGTTTGCTGGTGATACATAAAAATTTACCTTAGATCATTGGATTCATTTGTTCAAACTCTAAAAAAAAGCCCAGGAAGATGAAATGCTGAACACTGTAAATGAACAGAAAGAGGAAGGCTACAGAGGGAACCAGTACATGTTTAAATACAGAACTTGTTCTGCCACCATTATGGCAAAGATGGACAAGAGCCCACAGTAAGTGAAGCTTGCCTCACCAATAAGAAAACTGACATTAAGACACGAAAACTGACATGACTGACATTAAGAAAAATCAGATAGCCAGATCTCTAGCTTTTCTTTTCAACATGACCTTCTCAGCAAACCTGGGCTAGGGAGACACAGGATAAGCACCGTCATAAAACAGTATTTTGTTAGTTGTTAAGGTGGGAAATGAATTAGCCATATGATTAAACCTATAGATAAAATATCCCTTCATCTTGGAAAAGAGCATTTATTTCCAATGCCAAAGTCAAGTTGGGTCACCCAGACAATTTCAGAAATTCCTGAAGAGCAGAGTCAGGATGTTCCTCCCCTTGGAAAACTCGGAAGCCAGGACTCATTGCACAGAGACAGCTTCCCAACTCTGCAAACTCATATGAAATGAAAGCTGCACTGATTAAATTTTTATATAAGTACCAAAAATTCCTTGAGATGCCTTTTTTTGCAAAATAAATGGTCCCATCATGGCATGGTGGGACGGAACGGAAAAGCTTGACACATGTTCTTTGGGGTACGCGCTTAGCCTAGCTGATGCACATGGAAGTTTACACCAGAGGAGTTTCCTGAATTTAATCGTGGCTGTGAGCAGGCAGAGTATTTGGGTGGTAGCAGTCTTTTGCCTTACAAAGGACAGCCTGCTAAAAGATTTCTTTTTCCCCTTGAAACTGGGCTGCCAACATTGGAGCTGAAAATAAATCAACATGACGACTGTGTGAAGAGCTGGGCAGTGAAAAATTCTACCAGAAAGGCCTCTATTGAAAGCTGAGAAATACACAAAGCTTGGGGAACATTAGGAAGCAAGCCTGCTGGTTTATAGAGGTGCAGTGGCAGCATACATCTCTGGTCTCTATAATATTGGTTTATATTAAGCTTTATTTTAAGAGTGATGATTACATTGGCTGGGTTTCAGTCCCAGTGCCAAAGATGCCAAATAAATATCAAATGCTCTCCAGGGCTTCCCACCACCCCTACCCACTGCATTTGAACCATGCAAATTAGATAGAATTGACATTGGAATGCTTATGGCTGGGAGAGAACGACGTATTTCCCATCCTTGGGGCATTTTTCACCCTGTTTATATGAACAGAGACACGCTAGGCATATACTGGTAATTTGACAGGTTACAGAATATTCAGTGCGCAAGCACTCAGCCACTGGTGTGATTTGTAAGGTCCAAATGCGCAGTTAAAGCCATATGGGTTCACTAGCAATCCGTACTGAAACCAAGAGGCACAGAGGTGCCAGCAAGGAAGGTTTTTTTTCTTGAGTAGTTAAAGATGGCATTGCTTCCTTCTACATTTTGAAAGGGGAAAGCAGGAGATCAACATTACTCTCAATACATTAGAGCAATACCCATGGAAGTAACACATGCACAGAGGCACCTCCTTCATCTCTACACCTCTATGAACAGGAGCACATTAGTCACGGCATCCCTGCGCGCTAAACGAGCACTGACTCCTTTTGTAGCCAAGGCAATCCAGAACCACAAAGCCTTGCCTTGCCTAACCAAGGCAATATAGCACTATAAAATCCATCACAGTCCATTCTCAATGGTCTGTCCTGCCACAGCATTGCAGCTGCTGCACTACAGGGATTTGCTATTATCAAGCAGAAGAGGGAGACAAGACCTCAGCTTTCCTCCACTTCCCCAGAAACGTAGACTTCTGCCCACCTCTTGCAACGGGCCTGACGTTCCAAGAGGGATGAGCAGGCAGCTGGTCAGAGGGGAGGGCCATGAGAAACAGCTCCTCTCTCCATCAGCAGGCTGGCTGCTGCCCCACAGCAAAACCACAGCACCGTACTGCCAAGAATTCTGTTCACATTCTTTGCTCCCTGTGGTAGCCACTAGGCCACATGGTCTCCTTCAATCCATTTGCATTTTATTAGGTCTTTTCATGCACCAGGGGACAAAAGAACAAGCCACTTCCTCCCACTGAGCTCTCATTTCACACTTCAAATGGGCCATACTAACCTTTATGGTGGAGCAGCTGCCAGGGAGGAGGGGTGGGAGGAGGCAGGGCTAGGATGACAGGACAGAGCAGTGTCTGAAGATGCAGCCTCAGCTCCTCTCCCAGCAACCCAGAGGAACCCGAATGAGAGCAGAGCAACACCTTTCCCTTCCGCTCCCACCTCAGGGCACCCCAAGTTCCACAGCCACCTTGGTGGCATTCAGCCCGAGCGCTTTCTGGACTCACCTCCCACCCCCAGTAGGTGCTGCTGAGTTAATAGCCTGTACCATGTCCGTAGTCAGAGCATCAAGTAAGCTGGTAATAAATTCAACTTTCTTCCCTTCTGGGCAGCCTGCAGAAAGAAAAGAGGAGGTTTAATGCAAGAACACACAGGATTGGTCTCCTACTCCAGTTCGGCAAGGATCAGCCAGAACCTCCTTTGTTTGTAACATGGCAGGCATCACCACAGTCCCTAAGGAAAGGCAGAAGAATCCCTCAGTGGGTTTCTCTGCGCAGCAATTTGTCTTGCAGTTTTCATCTAGGCACACACAGGGTCACCAACAATACCTGGCAGGAAGACTGTGTGGTTAGCTTTATGGCCTCTCCCAGTTCTCTACCAGCATAACCACAGGGATGTGCTGGAAGCAGCTGGCAGACAGCAGTTCCCATGGTGACACTTGCAGAGAAGTTTACAAAACAACTCATTACCTCCTGGGTCATCTTCCTCTGCAAACATGGCTGTTCTGAGGTCCTAACTGACAGCTTAAAGCTTCCCAAAGCGAGGACTGCTGCTTTCAGTATCCTCAGGTCTGCCAGCAGCTACCACAATAATTCATTTCTTTGCATGATTGCACTGCATGGGAAATACGTCAGTCTAAGTCAACACGTGGCAATCACCCCCAGCCACTGCTGGCTTACGCAGGACACCACGGGCTGAAGACGAACTTGGTAACCATTTCCATTACTTAGTGCTGAGGCCATCTAGTTCCCCACTATCACAACCACAGACTGACAGAGCCTCCTACCCTTAACAGTGCCAGCCTGTTACAACACAGCTGAGCTGAAATTCTCCATCTCCTCACCTTTATGAGGCAATCTATGCCGTTTCCTTGCTTCTTAAAGGAGCAAAAGCATGCTTCATTTACTGCCACATTAATACTGTAACAATTGCTCTAGCGTACCAAGCAACGAGCATCCTGAACTTCAACCCACCACCTCCAAAACTATCATCCAAAACCCATCACCTCCCATCCTACTGTCTTCTCTTGATGTGACA